GACCGACCGACCGACCGACCGACCGACCGACCGACCGACCGACCGACCAACCAACCAACTAAAGTATATGTGAAGCAATCATGTCTAGACTGGAGAGACAGCTCAGTAATTAAGAGCACCTGCAAAGCATCCAGGTTCAATTCCCAGTACTCACAGGATGGTTCAGAATTATCTAAAATTCCAGCAGGATCTGACACAGTCTTGTAAACACCAGAGGTACCAAGCACATGTAGTACAAATACCTAATACACTCACACATAAAACAAATCTAATAAAAATTAAAAAAAGAAACTACCATTCATCTAATTAAACAAATGCTTAATTGATACCAATTAATTGCTTAAGTGAAATCTCTTGATATTGGGAAAAATGTTAAAGCACAGAAGTAAAAAACAAAGTTATTAGAGTCCGATCAGCCTATTCCAAGGTGTGGTTTTGCCATTTATTAACTGCACAATCATAAAATGTTTAAAAAATCTTGAAAGTTAAATTTCTCATCTGTGAGCCGGGAGGTAGTGGGGTGCACACGCCTTTCATCCCAGCACTTGAGAGGCAGAGCCAGGTATATCTCTGTGAGTTCAAGGCCAGCCTGGTCTACAGAGCTGGCTCCAGAAAAGCCAAGGCTATAAAAAACAAAAACAAAAAAATGTCTTAAAAACCAAAATAGATAGACAGACAGACAAATAGATATAATAAAATTCTCATTTGTGCTGGGTAGTGGTGGCACATTCCTATAATCCCAGTACCCAAGGGGCAGGGGAATGAATCTCCCGTAAGATATATGAGGAGTCAAGTATTGCTAGTCAAGTATTGTTTATAAGCCCTTCTCCCTGAAGATCTCTTTACAGTTCATGGTTATGGGGGAAGGAGAGAAATTTTCTTCACTGTGTAGCCATTTGTTGCCTATGTATCTGTAAATAATCCTTCACACAGGCTTCTATAGTAACTCTAATTATATTTATTAGTTGATAAAGCTCTAAAGGGGCTGGAGAGATAGCTTAACAGTTAAGAGTACTGGCTGGCTGTTCTTTCACACGACCCGGGCTCAATACGCGCGCGCGCGCACAGACACACACCACAGCTCAACAATCTATAACTCCAGTTCTAGGGACTATGACACCTTCATATAGACAAAACATACAGGCAAAATAGCAAGGCACATAATAAAAAAATTAATTATTCTCTGAGAGAGAGGGGGAGGGGGGAAGGAAGGAAGGAAGGCTGGCCAGGTATACTGGCACAGGACCATAATCCCAGCACCCAGGGAGGCAGAGGCAAGTGGATCATTGTGAGTTTGAGGCCAGTCTGGTCTACAAAGTCTAAGATAGCCAAGGACTACAAAGAGAAACACTGTCTCGAAAAACAAATAAACAAACAACAACAAAAATAAAGGAAAGAAAAAAAAAAACCCCTTAAAAAAAAAAAAAGAAAGAGAACAAAGTGTAATTAATAAAAATAAAAAAAATTTAAAAAAAGTTAGAATAAGACTACAACAATTGTTGGAACAGGCCCAGCCAAAATTATAGTGTTTCTTACTAATGCTGAGAATATGTAATTATAGGTAATTAATAGGGACTGTCAAAGAGCTTGTTGTAACAAATGAAAGAAATTAATAACAAATATCCTAAAAGCAAATGTCTACAGTTTATAAAATAAACTAACTGGATTCTCCCACTCTCCCACAATAAATAGGTAGGCAAACAAACAAACAAACAAATAAATAGATAAAATTAAAAAAAAAAAAAAGAAAAGAAAGAAAGAAAGTAGACCGTAGACCAGGACTAACTAGGAAGAGGAAAGGAGATCTGTAGTCAGGTGAGACATGAGGGTAATGGAAAATAAATGTGTGAAAATATAATGAAACCAGTCTACATATTAACAAAAACAGACAATGTATCCCTTATCTTAAAGAGATCAATATAGCAACCCAGTCAAAGATCAGATCCACAGTATTTCCTTCAGTCTGGTAATTCATATCTAATTGTATATTTAGTGTTCAACCACAGTAAATGAATTTGGAATTTTCAAACAAAAACAAAAGCCAAAAAGCTATAAACTGTAACTATGAAGTGGCAGTAAATTTTTCATCTGAAGTGAGTCTTAAAAAAGTTCATGGAATCAAAACACTTACCCATGCTAAGGGATTCTTTCTGAAATTCCTTAGTTAGGTGGGATCGGTTGGTTATGCAGTATACATAGCGCTCTAACACATACCAACACATTTCGTAGTAAAATGGGTAACGGAATTTATTTGGAACCTAAACAGAAAAAGAATAATGAGAAAAAAAGGCAATGACAAGGAAAAAAGAACACAAAAGATAATCTCAATCACTGCAATAATTAACCCAGGAAAGTCTTGTCAGTCAATCTAAAAAACTCAAGGTGGTATCTGAAGCAAAAACTTATGTCAATTTGTCAGTTTTTAGAATGTTGTTGATCTTAGAGATAGGCATAGTAGTCTGTATCTTCCCAACACATGAAAGGCTGAGACAAGAAACAAGTTCAAGGCCAGCCTGGGCTACATGGGAGAGGGGGGAAGAGAGTAAGTAAACTTAAAAAAAAAAAAAAAAAAAAAGTATCAAGGATGTAAATCAGCTGGCAGATTATTTGCCTAGCATACATAAAGGCCTGGTTGGATCTATAGCAGAACAGTATATACATACATACATACATGCAGGCCAGAAGACTGCATACATGATAAATAGATAGATAGATAGATAGATAGATAGATAGATAGATAGATAGATAGATAGATA